GCCTCCAGCACACAGGCTGAATTCTGGTCTCGAACACTACCGACATTGTCCGGAGTGTCAGCGTCAGTTTTGGGTGAGAGTAAGGGATTTTCCAATGAGTTCTTGTCACAACTGGCATTAACAGCGGTACCACTATCTTCGTCAGAGAGGATCAGGATAGGGGAATTTGGCTGGGTTGGACACTCCTCTTCTTCGTCCTTGTCCGACGAACATGACTCGGTGTCGGTCTCCCGAGAGGGTTGGTTGGAGAATCGGGCCTCAGATGACAAACAACTGCAAGGTGAAAGAGGTGAAGACGGTTAGTACAGGCATACGTAACAAGAAACAAAGTCACAGTAACTTACGCAAAGAGGTGGCTGTTTATGGGGAACACCAGATCATGATTGGACTCGGAAGGCGCCACTCTGGAAGTGGGCGTCTTCCGAAGGGCGACGTCACCTAATGCTGATTTGCGCTTAGATGTGCTACGAAGACGGGAGACGGCTGAAGAGAGGGGAGTTCGATTAGGCTCCGCACCGGGTTTGCCAGGCGAATTGAGTGAGGCTGTCGCTGATGCTGCAATCAGAGTCTGGGGAACAGTCTCAACCTGCAATCGCGAAGCATCATTATTTATGGTGGCGATGATTGTCTGGAGGGTCTTTAGTCGTGAATATTCCAGCTTGGTTGGGTCCACGGATTCGGATTGAGTGTTGTTGCCTCTCCTTCTGCTCTTCCTGTATTAAAACAGCCGGCAATAGACACGACAGGTATAGAGAGAAGAAATCGACTAGAGAAATGCCATGTAGGCATAGCAGCCATTTGTATAAGGGTGTTTTTATTAAGTGGAGAAAATATCATGGCAGATCCTTCGCAGGTGCCCGAAAAAAAATTGAAAGAAGGAACTAATTAGCGAACAAGTAGTTTTGTCTCAATTCTTTGAAAATGGATAGGTGTGCAATTATGAGAAGCATACCAGTGAAGTCAATCGAGAGCAACGGGATATCAGAAACCTAACTGGGTGCCGATATCGAAATGTTCGTCCAGTACGGAAAGCCGTGTCCACCATCGGCCTTTAGCAATCTTAGCAAGGACTTTCATGTCCTTTCAACGGTCCCGCAGTCAACTTTTGTCGGAATAGAGGAAATATTTGAGCGCGTCCTCTTGGAACAGGACTTAGGCAGATCAGAAACACAGGAAAGCCAAAATAAGACGTTCGATCTAAAGCGGGTCTCTGGGCGCCAGATGACAGTAATAGAGGCAAAGTTTCATGAGCTGTTTAACTACTACAATGAATAAACGACGACCTTGCAGGATAGCGCTGTTTATTATATTGTGGTCAGCGTATACTTGTTTGGAGAGGACAGAGCGACTGGAACTTACCGGGCGTAGGCTACTCGGGCAAACAGCGACTTGGAGGAATCGCGCAGACGTACGGCGTCCAGCTTTGCTAAGCAGTAGGCGAAGTGTTCTGTCTTCATCGTAAGCTAAATAAGAGTAAGAGGAGTTCACATGTGTGCAAGGGACGGTTAAAAAGCTTACAGCACGCTGACAAAACCTAAGGTCACATGGGAAGTATCTTGAATGCGGACGCTGCCTTCTGTCCTGGAGCTCCGATCTAAAGCCGAGACGGTTAGTATCCTAGCCATTATTAATCAATCGTAAAGGAATGTTGCCGATGAGGTCTCTTTTACCTCTGACGGTAACAATCCTCGACAACATAACCCAATATGGCATTGAACCACCGACAATCATTCTTCCACAAGTTCCAGCTAGCGAATTCGAAGGTGAGGTGGAGGGTGCAGGGATTTTAATTTCCCGCAGTAGTATAGTCTTTAATGAACTACCATGAAATTATCGCATCAACGACAAACATGATAGCATTGTGATCAAAAATCAGTAACTTCACGAACCTTTGAAAAAACTTGCAACAAATTACTGGTCCCGTTCACTGTCGTTTGTCCAGCCAACTCAAGGAGGACATCTAACAGTTCGGCCTCACGAGGAGAGACACCCATGAGGAGGGAGACGGCTTCCGCGGCGGTGCTCGCCGGTGGCCTAGTTGGGGTCCCTTCAACGCATTTCAGGGCTCCCAAGGTGGCTGCATCCAGGCAGTTTAGGCAGGCGGTGTGTAGGTCACCAAAAGTGGTCTCACGGATAAGCTGCAACACAGCCGACCAACCGAATGGGGCAGCAGTTTGGGAAACGGTGTCTGGTACGGGCAGTTGGATAAGGGCAGGGAGCAGGTCGGTCTGCCAAAGTCGGATGGCGGCCAACCAGCAGCATCGAGAGAAAAATGAATGCGCGACTAACTCCTGCCTGGTTTCAAAACAGATGAAAACCAATTAGCGACGAGCAGAAGTAGGACACATGTAAAGAGAACTGGTTAAGCGAAGACCCTCAGTAGAATATCTCTGTCTGATCGAAGACCGCCGTTACAGAGCACCAACCCTCAATTATAGAGATGGATGCGGGCTGTAGAAGGGCCATAATGTGAGGTAGTTTTGCATTGACCTACACAGTAGGTAGGCATGACGATGATGACGGTTGTCCTCCCAGGACTAATGGTCTGCTGCAACGATTGGAAGAGCGGCTTACTTAGAGAATCAACAAGTTTCGTAGTTTCTACTCAAAATATTGAAGGTAGAGGCCGTAGCCCCGAGCGAAGTTTTGTGGTTTGATATGAAATGAAAACCTGACTGAATCTATTTCAAGACGGTCAAGATAAAGCGCTTTCGGGTCCTAGATTAGCAGCCAGAAGTGGACCTATGCGCGGATGTCTAGTGAACACTGTAAGGAACTTTTTTGATTGAAAAGTGCCACGCGTGAACACCCAGTGCTTGGACGGAATAAATGAAATCCGAGGGTTGCGAAAATTCCCATAAAAAGGTTTTAGAAGAGTAGTTGACGAGCATAAGTTTGCTTTCGATAAATTCTTGTCATGCCAGTACATTTATACGGATAGGGGGTCAAGTAAAACATGCCAGTGATTAGAAAAATCGATGGAAGTTCGTCTTAATGCTTAAATGGGGGCGTGTGAGAATATGGGCGAGGTGGTGGCAATAGTCAGTGAGTTTGTAAGCAGTGGGGGTTAGGAAGAGTCATGCCAGAGGGGGGAAGATTGCACGCAGTTAATCGACCTTTGGCCGCAGTAAACGCGGAGCTTGTACGAGGTTCTTTTGTGTGCACAAGACCGGATTGCGCAAACTAATGGCGGCCGCTTCTGCTGGCTGACGCTCAGGGTAGTTCGAGGGGACCTTACAAACCGCAGAGGGCTGCGTTGGGGTCCACACGATGGCCC